ACCTCAACAAATTCAGCCATAGAAGAACCGTTGAATATTGAGAATTCTGGAGCAATATCGATGCAACTGTCAAGTTTCGCTCTGATCCTCTTAACTTTTGTAATAAAGTAGTCATTTAGAGCGTCTGGCAGCTCTTCTACAGCAATGTTATTTGGCAGAGATGTAGCCTTGTTTTTACCGGTCAGCTGACCTACAATGCGAAATAAGTCCTTGCTTGAGCCGCTGCCTGTAATCTGATGACTAACATACTCAGTCCTAGCTGCAAGGACCAACCTCTTGGTTCCTTCCCTGTGGTCAACAAAGATTTGTCGGTGCACAGTCAAGCCCGACTTCCGCCATTGGCGTTCTGCACGTCGCTGCTTCTGCTTCGCCTCCTTAATTTCGGGCGTGAGCCATGGGGCGGAAGGGCGGTCCGTAACTCGCCGTGTGGACAGTGGTGCATGTTTGTCTAAAATGACTTTGAGGGCACTGTTGTAGTCTGTAGCAGGGTCATCTACACCGCACTTAAGGGCTGCGACGTCACTTCTAAAGGCCACTAGATCTATCTGTCGGAGGTTACGGGATGTTACTGATCGCAGAAGGCGTTCTGGCTTCCTCAAGTCAAAGTCGAAGGTGACTGGGAAGTGATCAGAAATAATTTTGTCCTCAATAATGAGGTTTTGGATCATAGCTGCGTGGTCCTCTCTGACAACTAGCCAATCCAGGATGTGACCTCGCTTCTGCGTCGGGACACTGACAAGCTGAGTCATTCCGTGTGTGTCAAGAGCTGATTTTAGGGTCTTCACGTAGCTGTCGGTGGTGGAGTCGAAATGGCAGTTTATGTCGCCGATTATGATGACATTGTTGTTATATACACATAACACATATTTAATTTTGTTATGATTCAATTGCACACAAAAATGGACGAGCGAGTTCTCGTTTATATTTTCTTGCTGTTAATAAAATGCATTTAGTTTATGAACTTAGTTGCCATATGTAAGCAGGTATAAACGAGTTTTCCCATTTGACCTTTACCTCTAATGACCATGAGGGCAACTGTGCTCGAACTGTAGTGATGAGAATATGACAAAAAATGATACTTCTTTTGGGGAATGACATTGTTGAGGCTATACAAGTAGACCAGCACTGAACTGCTCGGGCACATGTCTTGGTGACGTTCTCATACAGCTATCTATTTGTTTTCAAATTATTCCTCTTTTACAATATCTTTTATTCCAAGGCCTTAAAGAGTCTTAAGAGTTACCTTTGCTGATTCATGTTCTTAACCCTCAACCCCCCCCCCCAACTACTCACACATTATGGTTGCATAAATCATAAATTGGGATTGTGGATTGTCACGTTTATATAAATAGTATTTATACTTTACAATACAATGGCATAAAAGTTTGAATAAATAATATAAATAGAAAAGCTGCCTTCAAAGAAATACGTTTCTCCTAAATTTAATTTCACGATCGTTTGTAAATATCAGATTGACATGGCAGTAATCTCTGCTTTGTACCCGCAAGGCTTAATGCTTGTGTTTTTATTGTTGGTGGCACTTGAGGAATGTTTGACAGTGGAACTATTGGAAACAGTCATTGGATAATATCAACAAGGGTTCATATAACTGTCTTGTCCTGCAGCTCTGTGTCAAGCTGGAAACGCTGTCTTCTCCTGCAGCATAGTGCGTCATGGCTGAAAACAAAAATGATGTAACGTTTAGAAGACCGAGCAAATACATATCAATAATTTAATATCTTTAAAAACAAAGCATAAGGTTGATCGTTGTCTGCTCTTCAGAAATCTCCACCGCTACCAGTTTTAGTCCATGGTTTTGTCCAAAAATTTATAATCAACGATCGTAATCGACACATGTGTACACATATAATCCAGTGTACAGCTTTACTGACATGTACATCTGAATCTTCCTGTCTTACATTCAGAAATAAAGACCAATTAGAATTTCATTGTCTCACGTTCAGGTAGACTTACCCATCTAAATTTTACTGTCACCCGTTCAGGAAGAATAACCAATCTGAGTCTCACTGTCTCACGTTCAGAAATGCTGACCAATCTAAATCTTTCTGTCTCACGTTCAGAAATGCTGACCAATCTAAATCTTTCTGTCTCACGTTCAGAAATGCTGACCAATCTAAATCTTTCTGTCTCACGTTCAAAAATCGTTCAAAGAGTGTCAGTTAAATCTTTCCAGGTTTGTTTTTAGCTCAGATACATTGCACTATTCCAATATTAACATTAGTATCATACAAAAATGTCGCTTTCCATTCTCACCACGACTTTCCTGAGTCGACATCTTCAGGCAACTGGGGCAGTGGTTTACCAGCAGTCTCGGGAAGCAGTATGGCCAGAGATCCAGCGAACAGTGCCAGGCCACCAAACAGGACCAGAGGAAGGGGCTTGGAGATCACTTCCAGGTCAAGGATGATGGGTGCCAAGATCCCACCAATCCTCGCTGACATTGAGGCCACACCCATACCTATATTTCTGTCGATCCAATGGATAATATAAAAGCATAAATCAATCCATTTCGATTATCCATGAAAGGCAAAACGTGAAATAACACTTGCAGATACAAAGTAAACATATTAGTTATTGAATTTACTTCTGTCTTTCGAGGTCGTCCTATTTCATATTCTATCCTCACCTTAAATCCTTTACTAATCAATTTTTTTTAAAAAATTGACTAGAACTCAATGTACATTAAAAAAAATTTGTTTTCTTAGTAATGATATTGAGTTATATGTTTAAAAAAAAGAAATTAGTTAATTACATGTTACAAAAAGAAATTAGTGTATGGGTTAATATTTGAACTTGAATCTGGAGAAGTTTGGCAAGTAAATAGTGTTATTACAAATTAAATTTTAATTCGTTAGAAAGATTTTAAGAAAACTATAAAAGTCCCTTTCAAAAAACAAAAACAAACAACGAATTCTACCTTATTACAGTTGGGAACAGTTCAGCAGCCATCAGATAGATAATTGCATATGAAGCTGTTATGCCAAACTTTCCTATCATGGCTAGAATGACAGTGATGGTTTCCATCGCTGGTGAAGACAAGGTCAACATTACAACATTGATTTAATATTTATTATTGTAATACAAAACACATCACGGTCGCTTACGACACTTGGTCGTTTAGAATGATCAGGATATGAACGTGAGGGTTTAGGTAGTAATGATGGTATGAAGAGATAAGTAGAAGTTGGGAGGGGTGATGGTATCCAGACATTAGTAGAAGTAGGGATGGATGTTGGTATGCAGACATTAGTAGTTTTGGCGTGAATATTTTCCCCGAAATAATTACTTAAGTAAAAGGAATGCGGAAGTTTATATTTAAATTATTATTCCTCGGCGATCTCTTCAGCTGACCTGCATCTTTAGAGTATGTACGAGCTTAAAATAATGATAACTGTTCCATTCAAAGGAATGTTGCTAACACCTGAGACATATTGTTGCCCAGTTGGTGAAGTAACTGACGAAGCAGCATGTACCAAAGTCATTTTTGGACTTTTTTAGATATTTGAACACAAATATCCTGCTCCATTTTTAAATTACTAGAAATTAATCGAAATGGCAAATAATCTTCCTACTGCCTCTCGCATACATAACTAGACCATACTGTTGCTACTATCTGCCATATACCAAACTAGACCGTAATGTTGCTACTGTCTGTAACATACCAAACTAGAACATAATGTTGCTACTATCTGCCGCATACCAAACTAGACCATAATTTTGCTTTTGTCTGTCTCATACCCAACTAGACCATAATGTTGCTACTGTCTGTCACATACTATACTAGACCATAATGTTCCTACAGTCTGTCACATACCAAACTAGTCTATAATGTTGCTACTGTCTGTCAATACCAAACTAGACCATAATGTTGCTGCTGTCTGCTAAATAACAAACTAGATCAAAATGTTGGTACTGTCTGTCACATACCAAACTAGACCATAATTTTTTAACTGTCTGCCACATACCAAACTAGACCTTAATGTCGCTACTATATGTCACATACCAAATTAGACCTTAATGCTGCTACTGTCTGTCAAACGAAACTAGACCATAATGTTGCTACTGTCTGTCACATACCAAATAGACCATAATGATGCTACTGTCTGTCACATACCAAACTAGGCCATAATGTTGCTACTATATGCCACATACCAAACTAGACCATAATGTTGCTACTGTCTGTCACATGCCAAACTAGACCATAATGTTGCTACTATCTGCCACATACTAATCTATACCATAAAGTGCTACTATCAGCCACATATCAAACTAGACCATAATGTTGCTACTATCTTCCCCATACCAAACTAGACCATAATGTTGCTACTGTCTGTCACATACCAAACTAGACCATAATGTTGCTACTATATGCCAAATACCAAACTAGACCATAATGTTGCTACTGTCTGTTACATACCAAACTAGTCTATATTGTTCCTACTGTATGCCACATACCAAACTAGACCATAATGCTGATACTGTATGCCACATACCAAACTACACCATAATGTTGCTACTGTCTGTCACATACCAAACTAGTCTATAATGTTGCTACTGTCTGTCACATACCAAACTAGACCATAATGCTGATACTGTCTGTCAGATACCAAACTAGTCTATAATGTTGCTACTGTCTGTCACATACCAAACTAGACCATAATTTTTTAACTGTCTGCCACATACCAAACTAGACCTTAATGTCGCTACTATATGTCACATACCAAATTAGACCTTAATTTTGCTACTGTCTGTCACATACCAAACTAGTCTATAATGTTGCTACTGTCTGTCACATACCAAACTAGTCTATAATGTTGCTACTGTCTGTCACATACCAAACTAGTCTATAATGTTGCTACTGTCTGTCACATACCAAACTAGCATACCAAACTAGTCTATAATGTTGCTACTGTCTGTCACATACCAAACTAGTCTATAATGTTGCTACTGTCTGTCACATACCAAACTAGTCTATAATGTTGCTACTGTCTGTCACATACCAAACTAGTCTATAATGTTGCTACTGTCTGTCACATACCAAACTAGACCATAATGTTGCTACTATATTCACATACAAAACTGGACCATAATGTTGCTACTGTCTGTCAGATACTAAATTAGCCCACTATCCAACCTTTCCGTGGTCATAACAACCACTTTTAATGATCGAATCAGTAGATGTATGTTATGTACCGTCATTATTAGAACAGTTTTAAAAATCCTTTTTTAAAAATGAATGATAAACTTATGATGAGTTGTAATATCGTAGTAAAAGAAAAATTAAAAAAAAACAACCTTTAATGAAAACCTATATGTACTTTTTAAAACAGTTATAAACATAGAACCATTTGTCGGCAATACATTGATTGTTCGCGTCTCAAATGCTGGAGATGAATCTCAACCTTAGCAATATATTGCTTGATAAAGGCAGTCTCAGACTTAGCACTATATTGCTTGCCATCTGCAGTCTCAGACTTAGCACTATAGGCAAGTTGGCAAGCAATCTATTGCTAAGTCTGAGACTGCCGTTGGCAAGCAATATATTGCTAGGTTTGAGACTGCCGCTAGAAAGCAATATATTGCTAAGTCTGAGACTGCCGTGGGAAAGCAATATATTGCTAAATCTGAGAATGCCGTGGGCAAGCAATATATTGTTAATTCTGAGGCAGCCTCAGACTTAACAATATATTGCTTGCCAACGGCAGCCTCAGACTTAGCAATATATTACTTGCCAACGGCAGCCTCAGACTTAGCAATATATTGCTTGCCAAGGGCAGCCTCAGACTTAGCATTAGATTGCCTGTCTCAAATAAAGATCGTACTCACTTTGGTCCCCATCCACAGGGATGCACCCGGACAGAATGCAAGCCACGCCCCCCATGTACATCGACAAGATGAGCGGCCAGCGGCGCCCCACTTTGTTCAACACGGCGATGCAGATGACGTAAGCTGGAATCTCAACGGCTCCCGCCACGCAGAAGTTAAGATAAGGGTTTCCTGGGACAAAGAGTTCCATTCTAAGTTAAACAGTGAGAGTACTCATTGAACGCATTCATTGTGTGCATTAATTGTGTGCCGTCATTTTCCTCATTAATTGTGTAAATTTATTATTTCAATTCATTGGAAAATATATTAGTAAAGGGAGCTAATGTAAGCAATCCTAATCTATTGTAGTTTATATAATATTTATTGCCCCTACAATTCGTGTTAGACTAGAAGCTTAAGAAGCGGAAAATATCAGTCTATTTTAAGCATCCTCAACACTTAGTATATGATAAAAAAAGACATTTATTGGTACGAAGTTGAATCAGCCAGTAATACGTTATTTATAAATGCTTTTAAAAGTATACACTTCGTTTGTTCCTAACAATATAACAAATAAGAAGACTATGGGATTGTACTAATTAAAAGTGTGCCCTCCAACAGTGCGCCCTCCAACAGTGTGCCCTCCAACAGTGCACCCTCCAACAGTGTGCCCTCCAACAGTGTGCCCTCCAACAGTGTGCCCTCCAACAGTGTGCCCTCCAACAGTGTGCCTTTCAATAGTTTTCCCTTCTACCAAGTGCCCTCCAACAGTGTTCCCTCCTACAGTGTGCTCTCCAAAAGTGTTTCCTTCTGCGGTGCGCCCTCTAAGAGTTTGTCCTCTAACAGTGTTCCCTCCAACATTGTTGCCTCTAACAGTGTGCCCTTCAACATTGCGCACTCCAAAAGTGTTCCCTTCTACCGTGGATCCTCTGACAGTGTGACCTTTAACAGTGTGCCCTCTAACAGTGTGCCCTTCTACCGCGTGCCGTCCAACAGAATGCCCTTCAAAAATGTACCCTTCTACAGTGTCCTTTCTACCATGTTACCTTTTACCGTGTACCATCCAACAGATTTCCCTCTATGTGCCCTTCAACAGTGTTCCCTTCTACCGTGGGGCCTCCAAAAGAGTGCCCTCCAACAGTGTGCCCCCAACAGTGTGCCCTCTACATTATGCCCTTCTACATTAAGCCCTTCTACAGTGTACCCACCGATTTTTGATAGCATCACCACACAAACCCTAACATGGAGTCCACAGGGAAAAAGAAAGAGAGAAAGGTCAAAGCATACATGGCGACGCGAACTAGAGGCAGGCACGCACAGCATGGGATACATCTGAAAGCAACCGGAAAGTTAAAGCACAGGACCGTGATGAATGGAAATTCTTGTGGGCGCCCTATTCCCCAGTCGTAATAAAAAGCTATTAGAAGAAGAATTAGTTTGTTTTAATAAGTTTCTAATTTAAGAATTTGCGGATGAATTCTTTCAATAAAATGGACCTTGGAAACTAAACTATTGACTGGAGTTTGTGATTCGGTCTAATTTTGATCTGGAAATATGAAACGAGCCACTGAACTGAGTTTACCTGCCAGATTTTCAGTGTTAAGTGACAGGCCATAATACACCAGGGAGTTGACCAGCCTGCAATACAAGATTAAAAGTTACGTGATTCAATGGTCAATTTCAGCCACTTGAGAGTTAAAGCATTTTAGTGAAACTGCTAAAGAGCTTATCTACCAATTCTAGGACTTGCTGACACCATTTCCTAATGTACAATTTTAGTAAAAGTGCTAGCGCCTTCTTATGAATTCGTTTCATTCATTAAAAGTTTCAAGAGATTACAAAGATTTTCTTTGACAACACCTGGTCAGAATTATTTTTCAAAATTTTCCGATTATTTGCAAGCAATAAATTAAAATTAATTAATTCTTTTTTTTTCTTTTATAAATTAAAAAAAAAATAAAACATTATTTTATGCTTTAAATTCGCCATAAAAAATAAAGTATCATAATTTCTCATTTCTGTAACTTTTTGTATCACATAATGCAGTAAATTGTTTCCCAAACAACCACTCACCAGTTGAACCAAACGTTTAGAGAGATACGCGCCATCTTCCAGGTACGAACACAGTCCAGAATGTAGTACTGCCTGGCGGGCAGTGACGCTGTCTCTTCCTTCAGAGATTTGAACACGTCCCCTCGCAGTGTCACGCCGTTCTCTCTGGCTGCCCGGTTTATAACTTGCTCAGCTTCTTCCTCACGTCCGTGAGATATGAGCCATCGGACGGATTCAGGAAGAAAACTGTCCGGAAGGAAATACGTTTATAATAGAAAGATTTTTGTCATGCAAGTCAAGTGGCTGTTGTCAAAACATCCCATACTTTTTCTGATGGGGTGTGGTTTTGGTTCACACTTTAAGAATTGTTTTCATCTTGCTATTATTGGCGTTTTTTGTGTGTAAAAAAAATAGTGTTGCTTGGGATCGTCAGATTTGTGTTTATGTTGAGTGTTGCAGGCAGGCGGATTAAAACACCGGGAAACACGTGGATTTGAGCGCCCCACCAACGCATGAGACGCACATGATCAGTTCGGTTGATACTGTGGGGCAAAGAGCTTAAACGATATCATATAGCAAGATGAAAGAAATCAAAGAGGCTGTGCAACAAAATTATCCGACTTATTTATAGATTACATTTCTACTTCTATACATTATTTGTTATTTAGTAAAAATCATATTTTTTTTAATTGCTCCGTATTTAAAGCACCATCACAGGGGGAAAAAATGTTCATTCAGTGGTTTAGCTAAAAAACAACATTTACTTTAAAAAAGAAAAGAAAAATCTTTGCAGATGTCAAAAATTTAAAAAAGATATTGAAATACTCACAACCAATAGAGACTAAATAGAATGACGGGAAGAGTAATCGCTATCTCCAGATATCGCCATTCTCGGATGAAGTATGCGATACCAGCCAGTGACATGAAACCAATGCTGTAAAATCCCTGACTAACGAATCCTGCTACCACCCGATACTTGGGACCCACCAGCTCTGTTGCTATGGATATGAACATTCAAAGGTTCAGCAAGTTAAGCAAATAGTTTAATTATTTTAAAAAAATATACAATGACATTTCAGTTAATGACACCGTCTAAGTTAATTAGAAATAAAGGAAACACAATATTTGAAAACATGAAAATAAGAACACAGCATAAATCTACAAACGTATCGGCAAGAAGCCTTCGTCAGCAAAAAAAAAAAACAACAGGAAAAAGGAGGAAAAAAACACTTTGCTGTAAAGTAGTATCCGAGAGGACAGTAAGAGGAATGTGACAGAACATAAGAAGTTGAAAGGACATCAAGAAGAATGTGACAGAACATAAGTAGGCTAGAAGACAGCAAGAGGAATGTGACAGAACATAAATATGTGAGAGGACAGCAAGATGAATGTGATAGAACTTAAGTAGGCTAGAGGATAGCAAGAGGAATGTGACAGAACATAAGTAGGTGAGAGGACAGCAAGAGGGATGTGACAGAACTTAAGTAGAGGACGAGAATAAAGGTAAGTCCACAGTGATTGATCGTGACGATGCATGGTTGAGAAAAAGTTTAACATGTAAATGAGAATATGACATTCATGTCTCTTGGTGTCAAGTCTGGATCATCTTTTTTTTCCGAATTTAACCGGTTAGCTGTGTTTGTACAGTACACGATGGTACTGATAGTGAAGTCCTTAGACCCGTTCCGGCCACATTCAAATAAGTGAAAAAGCTTGGGGTATAAGTCGGATGCTTAACTCAATCAGTGGACTAGGAGAGTGAACAGTTTTTAGGGTAATCAGTATAAGAGAAATAGATGTAACTTTCTGATAAGTTTAAATATGTACCTAGGTCCTCGGCACAATGCCAGAAAAATAACTTATTTGTTCTGCGAGACGTTATAGTTAGGAACTTAAGTCACATGACTTAGTCGAAACACTTGATTCTATAGCCCCTTAATTCATAATTTTAAAACTTTACCAAAAGTGCATTATGTTGAGTATAATGACTTTTCTTCAGTTGTTAAGATACCTACCAAGAGTGTAGGCGACCAAAAAGGCCCCCGTGTGAGCAGCACCTTGGCAAAAATACATGGGCAGGAAGATGTACATACTGGGCGCAAAAGAGGCAACTGTGCCCGAGATCAGGAGCAGGAGGCAACCTACAAAGAACATCGGTCTGCGTCCAAATCTAACGTGAATGTAAGATGACAAGTTCATTTTTTTTTTTAAATATATGAATGATTAAAAAAATAATAAGATTACGACTATCTGGTAACTTGATTAATTGAAAAAGAACTCATTACTTAAGGAAAGGAAAATAAGATTAGAACAATTACACTATCAAAACAGTGGAAAATAATACGGTAAGAAATTATAATAAGATACAAGTGAAAAAAAAAAATTAAGATAAGACGAATATCTGTAGTTGTTACAATGTATATTATATGATTTTTTTGTATCTCCTCTGTTTAAATTTTTAAAAAAGAAATTGAAATTAAATGTATTCATAATTAAATAATGATTAATATTATTAAAACTAACTTTATTCTAAAACAAAATTGAAAGTCTGAAAGAGATTCAACTGAAAAAGGCAAGACATTCATTCATTAAAAGACATACTTGTCTGACAACTGTCCAAATATCACAGCCCCAGTAAGTCTTCCGGCAAAGAACACTGACTTGGACGTTCTTATCCAGAACTTCTCCCCGCACACAAGACCAAACTGAGAATATGACTAAATGTTAATTGAACGTCCACTACTGGGGAGGGGGGAGGGGGCAGGCTGTTGAAATCATAAGCAGCATTGACAAAAAAATGTTAACACTCTACTCTAGAACATTTTTATTAATATGAAACAACGTTGAGCCAACTACTTTGCCAACCGGTGGAATGTATTGTACAAGACTTTAAATAGAGCTATCGGAAGACCTTTAAAACCGGGTTATTCCCCTTACTTCAAATGTTATGTATATCCCCCTTACCTCAAAAAGTATCTTTATTCCCCTTAACTCAGATGTTTTACTTCTCCCTTGTTACCACAGATGCTATACTTATGCCCCTTACCTCAGATGTCATACTTATCCCCCTTAACTCAGCTGTTATACTTATCCCCTTTACCTCAGATGTTATTGTTTCTGTATAATCCTTCCTAGAAAACTCGTACCCATGACGACAGGACACAATCCGCCTCGACCGATTGACCTTTGACATTTCACCCAACAAACTTGCGTTGTACAGCCAGGACTTCTTGTCCTCGAGCATCAGATCCACATCATACTGGTAGCACTGCTCGCCCCTCGGCACGAGCAGACTGACCCTCTCTGACAGCGTCGTGTTCTCCATGTCTGTCCCAGACAAATTGTACCCGGAGATCTTACAGTGGAAAGAAGGAGCGGCTCCGATGAACACCATGTTGAGCGCATGCCAAGCGGACACCACGGAGAAGAGACAGATCATGAAGAATCGGGTTTTCTGGTAGCGTCCAAATTCGCCCAGCAGCTTCATCAGCTCGTCGAAGTGCATCTTGATAGAGTTAACGACTTGTTAGGCTGCTGACGTGTACTCAAACTGTCACGGGCTGGTACGTGAGATGAGACGCTGCCTTAATGAATGAATGAATGAATGAATGAATGAATGAATGAATGAATGAATGAATGAATGAATGAATGAATGAATGAATGAATGAATGAATGAATGAATGAATGAAATATCGATGGTCTTATTGTGTCTTTTTAACTTCTTAATTCATTAATGATTTAAAACCAGCGTAGGTCTTCATACCTAGTAATAAAATGAGTTGGATTATCAAATATCTATATTTCATGTATAATTAATTATACATGAAATTTAAATTTTAAAAAAACAACTTTTCTTTTTAAATGCAAATTCCATATTTTTCATCACAAGCTTGTAACGTAATGGAAAAATTGTAATGATGTATTGTGTTTGCACGAGTAAGTGAGTGAGGAAGAGAGGGGTGGGACAGAGAGAGAGGGAAAGAGGCTGGATAGATAACAGATAATCTGGCTGTAGCAATGTGTGCAAGAAATAATTATATTGATGCAAATATATTAATATCAAATTCGTTTTTGGGGGTGAATGAACTATCCATGTTTTAAATAAGAACTATCCATGTTTTAAATAAGAACTACCCATGTTTTAAATAAGAACTATCCATGTTTTAAATAAGAACTATCCATGTTTTAAATAAGAACTATCCATGATTTAAATAAGAACTATCCATGATTTAAATAAGAACTATCCATGTTTTAAATAAGAACTATCCATGTTTTAAATAAGAACTATCCATGTTTTAAATAAGAACTATCCATGTTTTAAATAAGAACTATCCATGTTTTAACTACGAACCATTCATGATTTAAAAAGAACCATTATTGTTTTAAAATAAAAAATCCATGTTTTAAAAATAACCATCCATGTTCTAAAAACAGCCGTCTTAAATATGTTATTTATGTATAATAAGTAGAATATTGTATGTTTATACATTTCTATTTTTTAAACATTAAATTTATATCTAGTATGTCACATGAAATATTCTGAATGACGTCAGCAACCACAAAGTTCGTTTACTCTTAGTTTTAAGACTAATACTTTTGTCAAAGAAATTATAGATTCATTCATTAAAAGTTGTCGACTATTTAGTTTTACGCTCTTAAAGCTCAAAAAAAAAAAATCTTTCTCTGTCATGGACTGAAACTTCCAAATCGATATATCATTACACAGGGACCATTCACATTTTCACTGCTTATTCAAAACGCCATATTACACACGTTTAAAATTAATCTTTGAATAACAATGTCCACTACCATGGACCATCGATATTCATTCTTTAACTTGTGGATTGCAAGATCGATAACAAAATCAATAAGTCTTAAAAAGTTCAAGCTGCAATCCCTTTCAATCATTCAGTGAATGCATGTTACCATTATTATAAGCCAGAGTTCATTATTTAACGTAATTCTCAGTTGCACACCTTACGCAACTTAACAATTAGGAAGTTAACAAACTATATTTAATAAATTTTTGTTTATCTGGAAAATGTTTCAAACTCTGTCAGTTTTATATAAGTTGTAAAAAAGCTGTAACATCCCATCTCAATTTGTTTCATTGCAAAGGTACTTTCATTACATTTGAGCTATTTGATTGAACTTGATGTGTCGAGTAAATTTGATTTTTAAATGTTTAAGGTTATATGTGTACGTAAGTTGTGGTTGGGGTGGGGGGAGGTAAAATTGAAGTGATATTTTGGGGCAAGTGTGTGAAATGAGGCAAGAGGAAGAAACGGGGGGGGGGGGGGGGGGATTTTTATTTTNNGGGGGGGGGGGGGGGGGGGGTGGTTACATTTCTTAATGATGGCCATACTTGTTAGAAAGCTGGGTGGCTACAGGAGTTACCTAAGCTCAAGTTGTTAAGAATGAGTTCATGCTTAGCACTAAAACCGGTTGTTTAGATTAAGATCCCGTTACGTTGCCAAAGGCTTGGTTCAGATTCTTTTAAATGCCCTTTTTATTAATGGAAAGGGCACACCATTTATTTGTTTACAGAAAAAAAATTAATACTTTTTTCAAGAAAGTCAAATGAAGGATGACCTTTCTGTACCTCATTACCCGTAGAATGAAAATTTGTAATTGTCTAACCATAATATGAGAGTACACACTTAAAGTAAGAAAGACAGGCGAATTAAAGTCACTCATATTTCCTGTTAAGGTAAGTCGTTGAGCAGGCCATTTAGTTGCAGACTGGCGTGATTCATGCGAACCAGTTCTGTTTCATAGAGTAGTTGACGTATTTTTACGGTAAACCTATATGCAAGTGGGTCTTTTATGCTATGTTTGAAAAATAACTCAAGTACTTTTCTGATAAGCATTATAAGATAAAAATTCCTTGCTGTTATCTAACAAATTTCTAAAGAATTAGTGCAAGCGATTTAGTATCAAGTTTGACAGGGGACCAGTCTTCCCATGTCTGCTTAAAAATAGGCTCAACGATTTGTTAATGTTTAAGTACACCCGTGTTACTATTTTAATAATGTTACTAAATAAATATGGCTGCTGTTATCAGCACAGGAAGCTGTTTATACAAACTGTCAACATTTTTTTCTATAGACTGATAGTGCTAGCGTCACACATAAAACTGATGTGTCCTACCCCTTTCGCCAACTGATATTTTCTGAAGGCATGACAGAGCTTGCGTCATACATAGAGCTCATGTGTGGTACCCATATCACTCACCATACATACAACTCATTTATGGTACCCATATCACTCACCATACATATAACTCTTTTGTGGTACCCCTTGTCATTCACCATACATACAACTCATTTGTGGTACCCATATCACTCACCATACATATAACTCTTTTGTGGTACCCCTTGTCATTCACCACACATACAACTCATTTGTGGTACCCATATCACTCACCATACATATAACTCTTTTGTGGTACCCCTTGTCATTCACCACACATACAACTCATTTGTGGTACCCATATCACTCACCATACATATAACTCTTTTGTGGTACCCCTTGTCATTCACCACACATACAACTCATATGTGGTACCCATATCACTCACCATACATATAACTCATTTGTGGTACCCTGTCACTCACCACATATGCAACTCATTTGTGGTACTCCTGTCACTCACCACACATACAACTCATTTGTGGCACCCATATCACTCACCATACATATAACTCATTTGTGGTACCCATATCACTCACCATACATATAACTCATTTGTGGTACCCATATCACTCACCATACATATAACTCATTTATTGTGGCACCCATATCACTCACCATACATATAACTCATTTGTGGTACCCATATCACTCACCATACATAGAGCTTATTTGTGGTACCGTTGTCACTCACCAAACATAGAGCGCATGTGTTGCAACTGCTTCACCGAACTTTGGACAGGCAAATTTTCACTTCAACATTTTTTACACAAACAATATTAGTAGATATTTAGTATTGTATGTGGCTATATGTGTGTGGCAAGGAGTGTAGGGAGGGGGGGGGGATAATTCCGAGGAACTGACTCCAGTTCTGGCATATGAAGCCATTTTCTAAAAAACAAATTTCAAAATTAATATAAAATGACTAACTATAGTGTAAAACTTTATGCATTTATTTATGTGTTGCTTCTTTGACGTAACGTTGTTATGAATCAATCATATTTTGCAAAAAAATGTGGGTGTGAAGTTGTAAATTTGGTTAATTCCATTTGGAGTCAACCTACCAAATCTTTCATTGATGCATTTTTCATATGAATTATTTCCCGGTGTGCTATGAGAATACAATTGACCCGGCAGAGCAATATCTAATATCACAGTTTGGTTTGAACTTTTGGGGAGGGTCTAAAAAGTCATTATTTACTATTTAATGTTGTGAAGGTGCTCCTTGAAACTGACCCCAAGGTGAACAGTTTGGAACAGTTTGGAACAGTTTGGAACAGTTTGGAACAGTTTGGAACAGTTTGGAACAGTTTGGAACAGTTTCGAACAGTTTGGAACAGTTTCGAACAGTTTGGAACAGTTTCGAACAGTTTGAAACAGTTTCGAACAGTTTCGAACAGCTTGCCTCATTTTTTAGGGAAATTAAAAGTGATCAAACGTCATTCAAGAACTATTTATCGACCTTTTGGTGAAATAGATTTGAGGACATCAGAGCGCTGTGAGCATGTTAAACTAGCATGGACACAAGCGCTATAAAAGTACTCAATTATTATCATGAACCTACCTCCCAACATACCATCTTCCGCATATTTGACAAAGGATGATTTTAATATCATTACAACTTGGTCAAATAAATGTATCCTAGATTCTGAAAACATCCAGGGGAATGAAATTTGAGTCACTTCAATAGATTGATGTGATTCCCTTCCATCACCTAGTGAAGTTTGTAACAGGGGTTACAGTGGCAGGTTTTGGTGCAATGTCTGCTTTAAAAGCACGGCGGTGCCATCTAACAACCATGGCCCTTAGGCTCCTATCTCCTTATGGCAAGACAAAACGTTTCTGTTGGTGTTGTTGGCAATTTGAATGAGTGACACCGTCTGCCCTAAGGGTGGCCCGTATGTTAGGAACAAAGTTGCACTGATGTAAAACTCATAGAACATATCATACTTTTACATTCTAAATAACAAGAAACGATACCACCGTGATACACTTCACTACACTATAGTATACTATACCACACCACACTACATTATACTACTCTACACTACACTACACTACAATGTTTGTTGAAAGGGGTATTTCACCAACGACTCTAAAATACATTTCCCTACACGTCTATTTCACTACATCACATTATGTTCTACTCTACTACACTATACTATAGGCTATTATAGGCTACTATTTACTATAGGCTACTATAGTAACGCTGCAATTAACTATGTACTACTATTGGTCTATAAATGTTACTATTAACTACGGGCTACTTTATGCTACCATAATAAAATACTAAATTATATTTTATTTTATTATATTTCACCATAGTAATTGTTATACAGAAATTAATACA